ATCGCTATTTTGGGCGTATTGTGGCCCTGCCATCGGCTGTGGTTGCTGGTAACTCCTCACAGTACTTCTGCGCTTCTCCTAAACTCCTCTTAAGTTGCGAAACATGGATAACCGGGTGAATTTGAGAACTTTCTGGTAATTTTAGGCGGTAAGCTACCTGACCAATGCGCTTCAGAATCTGATAAGATCCATAATAGCGAACTCCAAGCTTAGTTGCCGCCCTTTGTGCTATTGTGCGCTGTCTGAATGGTTGTATCTTTAGGTAAACATACTCTCCCAGTGTAAAGTTCTCTTCGCGCCTCTTACCATCAGCGAAGGCCTTGGTTCAGTTAATCGAGCCTTCGAGATTTTTCTTCAACTCTCGTAACATCAAATCCCGTTCCTCGAGTTCTCGACCCACCTCGTTATTGACTGTACTCCCCTCCAAATAATTGATCAACGTCGGGGGTTTTCGTCCGTACACCAATTCAAATGGTGTCATCTTGGTCGACTCATGGTAAGTGGTGTTGTACCAATACTCAGCCCAAGGCAAAAAGTTTTCCCACCGCTTTGGGAATTGATGGACGTAGCACCTCAAGTACTGCTCAAGGGTTCGGTTGGTTACCTCAGTTTGTCCGTCTGTCTGTGGGTGGTAGGCTGAGCTCATAGATAATTTGGTCCCTTGCAACTTGAAGAATTTAGACCAAAAGCTGCTCATAAAAATCCGGTCTCGATCACAGACGATGAATCGTGGTGCCCCATGCAGCTTCATCACGTACTCCACGAATAGTCTGGCAATAGACTTCGCAGTATATGGATGAGTGATGGGTATGAAGTGAGGATACTTGGTGAGACGATCCACCACGACCATAACACCGTCAAATCCATTAGAACTCGGCAACCCTTCTATGAAATCCATAGTAATATCTTCCCAGACTGCCTCAGGTACCGGTAGAGGTTGTAACAGCCCGCTCGGTCGTCTTGAGTCAGACTTAGTGCACTGGCAATCATCGCACCGTGCTATGTAATCTCGGACGGTACTCTGTTGTCCGGGCCAGAAGAAAGTATTGGCTATTCTCATCCATGTGCGGTAGATACCCGAGTGGCCTCCAATTTTAGAGTCGTTGAAGTGCTGCATGATTTGCTCACGTAACTGCCTACTGTCGGGAACGAATACTCGGCCTCGGTGTAGAAGCAGACCATTATGCAATTCATAGTCGATAGCGGTTGTCTTACCTGCCTTTATTGATTGGCGCAACTCCTGGCAATAGGTGTCCTCCACTTGCGCCATCCTGACTTCCTCCCAAATAGTCCAAGCCGACCCTGTGATAGCATTCAGTTCGGCTACATCTGTTCGTCAGGATAACGCGTCAGCTACTGCATTCTGTCTACCTGGTCGATAGACGATCTCGAAGTCAAACCCCATAAGTTTAGATACAAACTTTTGCTGTTCGGGGGTAACAATCCTTTGCTCGAGCAGATGCTTAAGCGGTTGCTGGTCGGTCACAATCCAAAAGTGTCGGCCCAATAGATAAGGCCTCCAGCACCTTACAGCCTCGACAACTGCTAGCATCTCATTCACGTACACCGATAGACCCAATCGTGTAGTGCCTAGTGCCTTGCAGAGATAAGCTAAGGGTCGCTCCTCTTGCACTAGCACAGCTCCGATCCCAATGTCACTCGCATCGGTGTGTACCTCGAACAGGACATCAAACTGTGGCATGGCCAGCACTGCCGTTGTAGTCATGGCTACTTTCAGTTTCCCAAACGCCTCCTCGCTGGCTTCGGTCCATGTGAACCCACCTTTCTTAGTCATCTTTGTCAGTGGCTTGGCGATGGTTCCATAATCCTTCACGAACTTTCTGTAGTAGCCCGTGAGTCCTAGAAATCCTCTCAACTGTGTGAGACTTGTCGGTTTAGGCCAATCGACCATAGCCTCTGATATAGGATATTATACCCGCAAGGCTGAACCGGTCTATTGACCGGTCAAGGAGGTCGTATTATGAGGAAGTCAAGGAAATTGAGCAGTTAACCAGTCGACCAAGCAAAGCTGTCTACCAAACTATCCCTCGACCAGATACATGATCGGGCAACCTTTTTGACCTCAACAGGTCGAATACTTCGAGGACTTAACACCACGCTGTTCGACCTAGTCATAGGCGCGTGAGGGAGCCTTCAATAGAATTCCAGGAGAATATTTACCCCATGTGCAGGGGGACACGTGTCGAGAAGTCAGTGGTGGATAGCGATAACCACCCCTGACAGCCTACCCCATGTGTAGAAGGACACGCGTCCAAAGAGGATTGGTGCAGGCGATAGTGGCGACGGCTACCTCTGACACACGCGTTTGATTTGTACGGACGGGCAGTTAGG